TATAAAATACAGTTATATATATAATACAGTTATATATTAAAGAAAGTACTGGTTGCTTATTCATTTTTACAGCAACTTCGGAAGAACTATTCGATTCGTTAGTCGGCAATTCTTCTTTGGAAAACCAACAAAAACCTAATATAATATCCTCGTCCGGGGAAGACTCTCCTGTAAAGTTTACGCCGCCTAAAAAGGGTAATTAACGTTTACTTTGTCAGATGACTAAATAAAACTTATTTTATATAATCGTTACACCCGTATTCTTTTATTTTACAGCACCTGCTAAGAAGAAAACCGAGAACGACAAAGGAATGAAAAGAAAGGCGAAGAAAAAGTCAAAATCGTCCGAAGATTCCGACACGGACGAGATATTTACTAAGCAAACTGTAAGTGCGGTAGCAGTTTGAATCGAGATACGTTTGTTTTGCGAGAATTTTTGTCAATTTGAAATTCTTTTCTTAGCAGACGAAGAAGAAAAGAAAGAAATCTGATTCCGACGAAGACGTGGTAACGGATGATTCGCCATTACTGCCGCCACGCAAGACAGTCGGTCGAGTTCGGAAGCCTATATCTTACGCGGTCAAGTCGGACGATGAAGACTCAGATTGAACGTTGTCTTGTTCGCGCCTTGCCGAAGACGAGTGTGATCGACTAAAGTATAGTTTAAAGCGTAAATCTATCAAAGCAAGGCGAATGGGATCGTTATGAAGAGACAAGTTTCATCACACAAATTTAGAAAGATTTTATCTTCACTGAGAATGTCGGTCGTGACACTAGTAGTAATTTTACGTGGAGTGCGTACTGGAATCTGCCAAACGCGTATTAAAAATGTTTGTCAAAGTATTTAATCGAATTATAACTCGGAAGATTTACTCGAGCGACATTCAAATTGAGGTCTTTTTGGAAAAAACACTTGCAACCTTGTATATATAAGTTTACTACTCGAATATGCATAGTGTTGTAAATGCGAGTAGAGTTTCGCGTAACTAATAAACGCTGTGGACGGCGCTACAGGACGTATAGGTGTATTCAGAATATTCACACGAATCTCATCGCGTGATTTGAGTCCTTCCCAAAAAGTTTGTCTATTAACGAAGATTGTATATTGTGTTATATTTATGATATATCAATTATTTCACATGTTTAATGTCGTCCTCTTAAAAAAAAAAAAAAAAAAAAAAAAAAAAAAAAAAAAAAAAAGTTACAAAAAAACACGAAATCAGTTGAGAAAATACGTGGCTCATATCTTGCGAAGAGAACGTCCAGCACTGTCTACGCTAGATAGATTAATTAGCACCGCGCATTGCGAAGGGAGCGGTCCTTTCCAGAAATCACGATTATCGCACAATCGTTGCACACACAGTCGTGTTACACTTCTCGCCGCCGAAATCTCATTTGTCTTCGGTAAAACTTGAATAAAAAAGAGACGTATACTGATCCCGGAAAATGTTTTATAAAAAATGAAAAGAAAGAAAAATATGAAATATACACAATTTTTAAATATATTTTTACATACGCGTCACAATATGGTTTTTTTTCAGGTTATCTAAAAGACTAAAGAAAATTATATATACACAGCGGTAAATGTCTATTATACATATATACATAGAACGGATCTTACGGCTAATGCGGCGCTCAAATATCGGTTAAGCGAAAACTGTCGGACGTTTTATTTTTAACTTTATACTGACCACACGTAGAATAAAATAAGTTCACTTCGTGCTCGTTTTTCAATGTAAGTAACAAAGAAGTTTGTAGATTTTAAAATGCTGAGCGCGAGAGTCCATACGATATAACAAGAACAGAGAATCGTAATTGAAACTACAGTCAGGAAAAAGATCGACGTGAAGAAGCGATAGCTATAATTAATTTCCCTGATATAATTAGGTTCCTCCTCCTCTCTTGTGTACAATTGATATTTTTTCGCAATTATATAATTCATATATGAAATTGAGGAATAATTGACTTTCGCGGTTATTGGTGTTCATTAAAATTCAATTTCTGACTGTACATACATCTACTAGCTCTGTGTAATCGTTCATTCGTAGAATAAGAACAAGAAGAATTAATGATTGCAATTAGCGCGGCGATCTTGCACTTGCTAAAGTGAGTATATCTTAATACAGAGAGCAGATTATATAAATTTTCGAAACCACTGGACCATATCCCTTGCGCGCGCGCGTTCTCAGTCTAATCAATACTTTGTATATCTTCAGCAATTTTCATTTTTATATAATTCGCATACACGAAATAGGTATATATATCAATAAAATGTTTTATCTTTTTAGACTCGGTAATTCATTGTTTAACATGTTTGTTTACCAGAAAAGAAAAAAAAACGGAAGAGGAACGAAAAGCAACGAGGGGTAATACACACCGTGAGAGAGAGATGCGTGAGATTTATATTTAATTAATAAGTTTACTAACTTTTTTTTTAAATTATACACAAATACGTAAATTTATTGCTATAACATTTCATACACCATCCTCGACGCAATTCCAGAGTTTCTTTTATTTCTCTTTTTTTAATTTTATCTTTAGGAAGATCGTGACTATGCCGACACGCAGGGCCGATTGAAAAAAAGAGAGCAACGTCTATTATTATGATATTCGAAGTGTGTAGTGTAGATCGTGGTAATATCTTAATCGATAGGAAGGTATCTTTTTTTCTTTCTATTTATGCTCGCAGTGAAAATAATTACAGATAAAAAATTTCTCTATTCCCCTCCCCCTCCCGTTCCTATCTATCTCAAATACTCATGCAAGTTTATCAATTACCTTCTCCCGTGTGAGGGATCCTACAGATATGTACAAATATAAAAACCTTCCTGTCGCAAAGTACACGAGCATAGAGTACCTTAATCATGGTAACAAAAAAAAATATTCAAGATATTCGATATGGCATGAATACTCATTAAATTATATCTTCGGACAATTCTCTTAAGGCCAGTCGTAACAATTTTGAGAGAAACAAGCTCTATATATATTCAATTTAATGAAAACGATATAATCGGAAAGATATGCGAATGACAAATTCTTTCATTATTTTAAATATTTACTTCTCCTCGCCATCTCTCTCCTCGAAAAAAAAAATATTTTTAAACATCTACATCAGTTATAGAAAAAAGAACTACATCGAGCAATGACGCAAATGATGCCATTTCGGAATTGTATCGTAGGGAATCATCGGTAGATATGCTTTGATAAAAGAAAAAAAAATGCATTTGCAACTGCGTGTCTTATTTTTCACGAGAAGTAGGATGCGGGATGTGGAAACGGTTGGCATTTTTTCTTTTCTTTTTTTCTTTTTTTGTCAAAATTGAAGCAGCGGATCTAAGTAGTAGTAGACTCTCTGTTCAGACTTGTAATTGTATTCTCCTCTCTCACCACACTTTTGCCAATCACATTGATGGTATTGAGCCGTCATCAATACCTGGTGCCCACATTGTATCAACAACTGACGCAACACTTTTAACAACACACACACTCACTCGCTCTCAGTCTCTCTTTTTTTCTCTCGTTCGCTCTCAACGCATTCCGTTTCTCCTTTTTCTCTTTTACTCCCAGAAGCTACGGCTCGTCGACGGACGCGACTATAATACAAAGCAAGGGCACTTGATAAAATAACTTAGTCTTCTATTTCATAATTATCTATATATAACGTACATATATATAAAACAAATTACGAGTAAAGAAATAATGATTGGGTCGGTATAGCGTTTCACGGCTCTCTTATGTTAAAAATTTGCTCTTTTCTTTTATTATCGTTTTTTTTCAACCGTCGTCTGATTAATTAATTAATGTGCCTAGCCGTTTCCGCGAAACTTGCTCTATACACACATTTGGATCCGTTTTCTCTCTCTCTTTCCTTTTTTCTCCCTATCTCTTTCGAGAAAAAAGGGGGAGAAGAGAAAGGAGAGGAGACAAAAGAAAAGAGGAGGTAGAGTGAAATAGGGAAAACATAACGCACGGCGCGCTTCGATACTGCAAATCTCGTCGCGGAGTTTTAAACCATACACGCGTGAAAACGGTTTTTTTCTTAAAGTGATGGTGATAATAATGGACTACAATCCTATAATATTTTTCACTTTGGGAGCACATCGCGATTCTCTCTCTCTCTCTCTCGCTCTCTTTCTCTCTGTCTTTCTTTCTCTCTATGCTCACTTCGCTCTTATTCTCTCTTTTTATCGGACTAATCGTTCCGGCATTATAGATATAAAGCCCACTCTCGTTTCGGAATAGGAACAACCAATCAAATCTCCTTCGTGTGTAATCGTATCGTGTATATGTTTTGTGTGTGGATGTGGATGCGCGTGTATGTTAGTCGTTATTAGTCATGATACAGGTAATAATGTTAATATTCGAATAAAGTAACATGATACGCAGGCCAAGCATTCATGGAATGCCGGAAACCGGCGCCGGAGGTCATGCGAGGATAGAGCCACCACAGTTGTCTTCCCACTGTCAATGTTTGTCGTCGTCCTTTTTACACCATATATATATATATATTATGTCGGATTTATTAGTTTTATATATATATAGTATAAATATATACACTCACACTAATTTTAACAATCCTCTAGCGTTCATTCATGCACACTAAAACGCCAGGAGAGAGGAACGTTGTCTTCGTAAAAGCGATTGCTGCGATTGCTCCGATTGCTTTTCTTGGTTTCTTCCTATTTTTTTTTTCTTATTCTTCGTTGCTTTCTTTATTTCATCAACTTGATTTTGCTTCCACTCGGAAGAATTCTTATCGTTTTATCTGTTTTATTTATAGTCTCTCTCTCTCTCTCTCTCTCTCTCATACTCTATTTCCCCCCTCCCCCTTAATCTAAGCGTCACTTTAACTCATAATGACTTATCACATGTTATTTTCTCGTTCGCACGCTCGTTCGTTCTTTCTCGCTCTCTCGTTTCTTTTAAACACTATTATCAAGTCAGCGCACTGTTTGATACAAGGAACGATAATACAATTGAATATTTACGAACACAACATTGTTTCTTGTCATGCTGAATAATGTGGCGTGGCTTGTAGAAAGACGCAAGCTCCTGGACTTGCGGATGACCAGTCTCGCATCTCTCTTGCAATGTCCTATGTAGTCGATCCTGTAAGTATAGTTGTGACGGTGTGGTGATGGCGGTGGTAGTTGTGGTAATAGTTGTGGTGATGGTAGTGGTGGGTGGTGGTGACGGTGATAGTATCCGGCTTTAGTATTTACAATTGATTATAGTAATCGTTATTTCCCTAAGATGAGAGATGATGTGCACAGTCCGAGCGCTCAAGATTTGGCATGTATTAGTATATATCGAGGATTTCGTCCTTAGTCCTTCCTCTCCACTACGAACTGCTCGACGCGTTCATACCACTAAACATGCCGATATTGAACGAACTCTGCTGCTGTTGTTGTATCTGCTGCTGTTGCTGTTGCTGCTGGCTGTTCGCTTGGCGGCCATGTTTTGGCACTGGGGGTTGCAGATATTCGTGTCTAGCTAGTGTTAGTACGTCTATACGCTCCTCCTTTCTATACGCTAGGCAACTTCTTATGAAACTCTGCAACAACAAATCGTCTCGTTGTAGAACGACATGACCTTATTTCTGTAAACAAGAATCTGTACTGTCAACGCTACCTTTGCTTCGTTACTGACGGTCGGTTTATTCGCAAACTGGACTTCTGTGGCTTTCAGTATCGTATTCTCCTCCAAAATGGTGGCTTGCGATTGATTATGACCAAAGGGCTGCAAAAATAATAAAAAAAATATTCGCATTTCCATTATACTCGCGAACGACAAGCGACGAATTCCGTATGCGATAATTATATATCACGATAAATACCTTTTTACCGTATAGGCATTGGTAAAATATAACTCCTACACTCCAAACATCAACCTTGGACGATATTTTAGGAGGATTTTTGCCAATGACGAAACACTCAGGAGGTAGATACCTATAGTAAATATATAAGTTTGATAATTTTCAATAAGATCTTATGATTAATGCACAACAAAATAAATATTGGACAGTGGAAGAAAAGCACGTACCAGTAAGTACCTGCTCCTTGGGATGTTAAATCCATTCCGTGATCTGGATTATAATTTTCCTCATCCATAACTTTACTTAAACCAAAGTCTGTGATTTTTATTTCGCCGCACACGTTACCTTCGGTTAACAAAATGTTGCCTGCAAAAAGCATATCAAATGATAAGATTTCATTTGCTTGTCTACTCTAAAAACAAAAATAAACTATTTCGAAAAGCTTGTTCTCGATAAAGGCTCTAATATCTAAAGTTTACCTGGTTTTAGATCGTAATGTATGACTGGGGGTTTTATTTCATTGAGGTACTTTAATGCCGATACAACTTGCATAACAATAGATCTCGCTTCTCTCTCGGGTATAGTCTTATGCTGAAATAAAAGGTTTGAGAATATAATAATAAAAACACGGTTATCTCGCTGAAGTGAAAAGCTCGCGTAAAATGATAATTAAATCATGTGTACCTGCTTGAGGTAAAAATCTAAATCATGGCCATCACAATATTCCAGAACTGTACAAAAGGAATTGGCATCAATTTCAAATACATCATATAATTTTACAACTCGAGGATGATCCAATGCCTTGTGTATATTATATTCTCGCAATGCATGCCTGTCGTAACAGAAAATAATAAATAGAAGCATCCTTTTTAAAAGCGCATCCTTTATTAAAATGTCCTTTTATGGTAATTAATTCTTATTGTAATAATTAGTGATAATTTGAAAATACTCACTTTATGTAATTAGCCTTCTTGTCTTCTTTCCAGTCTTTATTTAATTGATGCACCTTACAAGCCACATACCGTTGCTCCTTTAAGTCAAATGCCTATACAAAAAAAATCGCGTACGATACGGGTAAGAATAAATAAATTAAATATTCTCACGCTTGTATACAGATTAATATAATTAATGAAACAAATAGACGGAAATGTGTTTCGTCACCTTATGCACTTCGCTGAAACCGCCCTTTCCTAATAACATTAGCAGAAGGTAACGTTCATTCAAAACAGGATGAGAGTTGAATCTCGATTGGTCCTCGTTGTGAATACGCTTCAATTCTCTGATGTGTAGGTTCCGCTCTCTTTCGAGCTTTTCCATTTCTAATTGTAGATCCGCGTCTTCTTTCTTCAACGCGCTTTGTCTTAACTGTAGACACATACACAGACACATTATCACAAGCTTGAAAAAAATGAAAATGTCGAGATATCTTGAGGAAAGAATATGATCGCGGTGCATCGTGATGTACCTTGAGTATTTCGTCAGCTTCATAATACTCCTGCCACGTATACGACCCAGGTACTGCATCCGGCTTCAAAAACGTCGCCTCAGTGCCGTTATGCAAAGAGGGTTGCGGTTGACTACGTTTTCTGCCGGTTTCGCTGTTCGATGGCCTCTTCTTGAGCAGCAGCTTCTTTTGCTTGTCGATCTCTTCCCGTTCGGTTGCTATTTCTTCTTGCCGTCGAGCGAGCTCGTGAAACGCATAACCGTCGGTCCAATTCTCTTGAAAGGTCGCGCCCACCCTCTGCGTCACGAACTGACCCAACCTCAGTCTATTTTGCATACACTTCTGCCTAGCCTCCTTTTTTTCTATGTTTGATTTTTCTTTTAATAACTTCTTTACAACGTCTATACACTTATTTATATGCGATTTATGCTGTTCAATCAGTTTTTGTTGATTAGCCATTTGATGCCTAAGTTCGTCCGTTGTCTGTAACAAAAGTTCAAAAAAAATAGATATCTTTACATAAAATTTATTTATTATAGTGTTATCAAGATAATATAAAGCTCGCCTGTGTATATCAGATGTGATGTTAAAGAGAGAAGAAGAAAGAGAGAGAAAGAGAGATTACATATTTCATATAATTTAATTCTGACATAAGAATAGTAGAATTTGAACAGATTAATAATCATAATCACAATCATACTTACCCTATTTAATTCGTCAATTTTATTGTTACGTAATTCTAAATCTGAAGAGGCTTGACTTTCAAATTCCTGTATCCTCTGGCAAGTAAGTTCTGTCTGAAATGCAATTCGTACAATTTTACAATAAATGAATTTTACAATATTACCGTAACATCTGATACATTTGTCAGCATTGCTCTTAGTAAATACTGGATATCTTGCTGCACGTAAAAAGAGCATAATATATATAAGCAACAATTTAACGTATCGTCAACACAATTTATATCTGGCAAAGTTGCAACGTATTTGTTCGACAAAGATAACTATCCATTTAATTATATAACACAATAATTTTTATATTTCACTACATGTGTGACTTTTTTTTATTATAGAAAATAAACTAATAAAACTCAGGTAAATGCTGATAGAACTGAAGATCACACACAGGCAGCAAGGAAAACACCAAAAATGTACGCATATGTAAATGATGCTCATGTAAATGCCAATCAAGACACAATCCCAAAAGAATTCTTGGTACATTTTGAAACAGTCAAGGAATATTGGATTTATTAGAACTCAAATGCAATGTTCGATGAATCCCAAGAACTAAATATGCATATGCCAAAGTAATAAAATATGCTTTTAATGCTCGCTTTATGCCTCGAGCGACCATATAATAATTAAGTTTTTCGTTTTCGAAAAAAACACTTAGATCTTTAAAGACAAGTGTATCATAACAAGAAAGAGTGGCACTACAACAAGATAGCCTGTATTTGTACAATAACAAATGTATACAGTGCTACAGTTTGGCCAAAAGTTAGATGATTTTATTGCAAACATTTGACAAGAAATGCCCATCAGATCACACATATATAGGCAAATAGAGGAATCTAATCAATCCGTGTAGCATTTCACAGATTACAAACAAAATTTGTTACAAAAATAGAAAGAAGAAAAGATCAATTAATTTTTGCAATAATATCTTACTGTTGCTACTATCTAATGCACTTATTATTTTGATTTTGCACAAAAGATTGACCAAAGGCAAACTTTTGTAAAAAAAAATTACCATAAAAATCTTTAATTTGACAATTACTTTATCTTTCTCAGTGCACTTTAATGATTAAGAATAATAACAATTTTGCTTATTCCTCTCCCTAGCCCAATGATAAAACTGCCATATTTTGATAGATGTTAATAATATATAGGAAAGCTTTAAGAGAAATAAAAGATTCCATATCTTTATAACAAATTGTCAATTGGTGATAGAGATATTACAACCAGTGGGTCGTTTCTTATAAAATGCTTGCAGATATTACTGAATTTTGCTTACATTTGGGGTGTTAGTCTTCGCTTGCCTGACCTGGCTTGTCCTATTGAGGTTGGTAGGCCTTACCTGCACCTGCTTGCTGACCATCGAGCCCGCAGGTTGTGTCGAAACTGGTGGTGGAGGCGGTGGAGGTTGAGGATGAGGTCTTGGTGGCTGCATCAGTGAAGAGAATTCCGCCACTGAAGAATTAGGTGTTGTTACTTGTGGTGAAAGTAACTGTTGAGGCGATGGTGGAAACTATTGATAAGAAAACACAGATATTACGCATAAATTACAAATCTGTTGCTCCTAAAATATTCTATGTAACATTGATCTTGAATCTTACCATGGGATACGCCTGTTGAGGAGAGGGGCTCTTGGCACCACCATGCCGAATAGGACTATTGCCCAGATGATGCTTTGGGAAATACTCATTGATCTTCTTACTATCAAGAGCAGCAACTGATCTAGCGCCCTTACTCGTTACAGAGCTACTTGAAACACCCCCGCCTCCGTCATCAGCCTTACGTTTCCTTTTTCTCTCAGAAGTAGTCCGTAGTACTTTTTCCGGAGTGTTTGCATCCACCTCCTTATCACTATGCGATGAGCCTAATTGTAATTATAGTTCCATTAGAAACATGCCAGATATCTTTAAACTATAATTTTAATATGTGAATAATTATAATAGATAAATAAATTGTGTTTATCAAAGAATATTTTAACACAAACACAAAGGAGCTTTTTTATTGCTCTTTTTAAAACACATAACTTTATCCTCCAGACAAGTTAGTTGCCCAAAGGACCAGAATATATACTGAGAAAACTAAGATTATTCTTCATACAATTTCTATTATATTCGCGCATCGTCTTCAAGGGAATGATCCCGACTTACCAGTGCTCATGTTCGAGTCTTGACTATGAACTGTCTGACCAGAGTTTACGGTTGTTTGGGGTGCCATCTGAATTTGTGACCCAGCAGACATCTGAAAGCAAAAGGCGTTGCGGCTATAAGATATACCGCGAACAAGTCGCAACGAGAAGAGAAACGGCCACAAGAGAGGAGAGAGAAAAATAATGCAACGAACCAAATAGCGACGGACTATAGTCACGAAGAGCGCCTGTGCGATTTGACCGTTATTGAGGGTAAGGCACGTCGCCACCACATTGTGAAGACGAGAGTCGTACGAGTCGACGAAACGCGGCGAGCGGCGACGAATCCGATCGCGAAAGATAGCAATGACAACGACGGGAGCGAGGAATACGACGGCACGAAAGAGGCGGCTCAACTCCTACTGCTTTTTGACGGCGGCGACGAGAGAGGTTACGCTACGCAAACGGCGAAACCCGGCGTACGACGCTACCAGCTCAACGAGAAACGCGTGTGTTGTTAAAAAGACACGATTCACACTCTAGAAGGAACAAACCTGGAGGGATAGAGAAAGACTTATGAAGCGAGGAAAAGGGGAAGGGATGAGGGGTGCCGGACGGAACAGAGCGGCGCGGAAGGAGGAATGGAGAGTGCGAGAGAGACAGACAAGACAGAGAGAAGAATGGAAACACGTCGAGAGAGAGAGAGAGAGAGAGAAAGAGGAAAGAGCGTGCGTGTAGAAGAGAGAGGACGGACACCTTCCACGACGACTTATGGTGAAATCCCATAGTAATCGTCGTTCTCGACTGTGTGTGCGTGTGTCAACGGTAAACGAAATTTCGCGCACGGTCCTGCCGCAAGAGTGACGGCGGCGACGGCGTGCGAGAGAAATGTCCGATATATACGTTTTAGAGTTATAGAGGAATCACGACACACACAAAATGGAGGACCTTAGAGCGGCGGGGAGGAGGAAGGGAGCGGAAGGGCGACGGAGGTTCCAAGGGGCAAACACGAGCGCGAGCGCGCGCGCGCGCTCGCGCGCGGGGGAGGAGGCGAGCGAGGGAGCGACGAGGGGGGAGGAGGTTAGAGAGGAGGGTAGCGGTCGCGATGAAGGGGAGGGGGAGCGGCAAGAACTTGACGGCGCACGGTCGGGAGAAGTGCACGAGCACGATCGGGGGAACACCACGGGCGCGCACCGCGAGGGGGCAGTTTTACTCACTACGTTGCGCTTCTGAACTCTCTACGGCTCGGGGCCGGCCTCGGGTTTTAACTGACTCTCGGTGTCGCGGCGGTACATATTTTCGTACGCGGCGTCCGCGGCCGCGGCCACCGAGACGTGAGGACGAGAGGAAAGAGGGAGGAAAAGAGAGAGAGAGAGAGAAAGGAATATCAGCGGGGGCGCGCGCGCGCTACGCCTTCGATTAACAGCGTTGATAAGCGAAGGAAGAGAGCGACGACACGCTACGTCACTTTAGCCGGCAGCGGTGCATGTGACGTCGTCGTCGTCGTCGCGCGGCGGTCGCTGGCGCGTCCCACGTTTAGCGATAAATTACGTGCGTCTCCTCTTCTCGTGTTGCTGCTGCACAGGCGATGCGACGCGACCTGCTCCATTCCCGGATCAACGTGCTTGTGCACGACACGCGCCATCGTATGCCATCGCTGTCGCGAGTTACCCCGTCACGGTTTTACTGAACGTCGTTGCGAAACTCGAAGGGAGAGCCCAGGAAGTGGACGCTTGGCTCTGAGAGAAAGTCATTAAGCAATCAAATGTAATTAGATATTACCGTCCGATAATTGTAGTTCCTTTTTTGTTCAAATCGTAGAAATGTCAACATTCTAAAATGGTTTTCATATTTTCATATATATTGCATAGTCTATCTGCGTGTTGAAGTTATTAATTGTAAGAACAATCTTTTCCTTTTTGATTGAAAAAAAAAAAAATCTAGTTTGATCTAATTAATCTGATTATTACGCTTACGATTATTATTATTAGATTTTTATCACGCGCGCCAACTTTGCAGCGTGATCTATTTAGAGATTGATGAGAGTTTTTATTTTTGTCGTGGAACTTTATATATTATTTCGAGACGGTTTTTCAATATATTTATATCTCGATATAGAACCAAGGGAGAGAAAGCGCGCGTGAGATTCATGAAAAATAAATCTTTCGCGTGAAAGGAAAACGAATATCACTATAATCCATATCGCATTAAATATCGCTCATTTAATCAATTACAATCAAAATTAATTTGCTCACAATGATCGAATATGGATTTCTTTTGACAAAAATTAGGGGTTAATACCTAATACTTATCTTATTTTTCATACTTTTATAATTTCATACGAGTCGTGAGAAAAACGAGTTCCATTTCGGCATAATCCTCGAGATCGATTTAAAGGACAAATCAATCTTGGTTTGAAAACTCAAATAGATTATTAATTACAGATTATATTAAACGTAATCGCTTTTTCATCAAGAACACGTCGATCGCCATGACAATCGATGCGCTTGACGTTTGTCACGAAAATAAAAAGAGAGATGCAATATATATGTGCCTTGCAAAGTTACGGGCCGATATATATATAAGGAAAATCGTAAAAGATTAAAATAATAAATTTGCGAGGAATCCAATCTGTATACAGTAAACACGACTATACATCCGCGCATCTGATCTTATATTTCATCGCGTTTCAGGCGCGTACAATTCGCGCCGTTTCGCGGATAATCCTCTAGTCACGTGACACGGTAGTATATCGCGCCTCGACCTCGACTATACGACAATGAGATGCTCGATCCCGCGGATTCCTCGCGCACGAACAAATCCAACCGCGGGAGAGGACAGCAAACTTCCTTATCGATGGATCAGTGGCCGTGCCCGGAACTGGGCTAGAGGGCCGGCGAAGAGAGAGAGAGAGAGAGAGAGAGAGAGAGACATGAATCTCCATCTCTCTCTCTCTCTCTCTCTCACTCTGGTTGTCGGTGCGATCCGCCGTCGAGACGGATGGCATCGCGTTGTGTATGAATGCGCGCAGCAAACAGGCAGATGCGTATGCGCGTGTGTGGTAGTGCGTGCCCGTGTAAACGTATATGGAGCGATTCGCGAGACTCGGAAAAGTACGCCGACATAAATATGTACGTACGTATTATACAAACCCGGTAAACCTCGGCGTACATGCAGACTTTACTTATGCACTTGTGTAACTCTGACAACTTGCCCCCGATATGGCCATAACTGTGACTCAAGGATCGGTCCGTTCACGAACAAACCGTAAATCGAGCAGCGTAGAGACAGAGTTCGCGTCGTAGCCAGCACGCGTTGTATGTACATCTACGAGAGAGAGGCTCTTTTCCTCCCTCTTTCTCTCTCTTTCTCGCGTGCGCCTCGCGTCGCACGAAGTCCGTTCACTTCGTTTCCTCCTGAATGCGCTCGTGAATATTAACGTGCGGCTGGCGCGCCGGGTAAACAGCGGAGACGGTAGCATCAGCGGCAACGACAGCGCCGAGCGGCGTCAATGGAGACGTCGTTAAACGGCATCGGGCGTACGCCTTTTCTCGCTCGACGGAGTTACGAGATCCGCGCGAGCCAAAAACCCGGCGCGTGGACTCGCCTAATCGAAACGGAACTGGAACTGTCCGACCACTGTGTGCCGCCGCCGCCGCTCTCGCATACTACTACTACTACTACTACTCTCTAGCCCCGAGGTTTCTCTCTCTATCTCACTCTCTTTCGCCGTTTCCTCGTCCCTCCGTTCCTCTTACTGCTCTTCGTCGCTCGCTCAACCGCCACCCTTCGTCTCCTTCGCTCCTCTCTTTCTCTCTATGTACGGCAAATGAGCAACGCGCGAGATTCCGAGATGCGGCAAAAGGTGCAACCTCCTCTTCCATTTCCCCGAGAGACCGCTACCACCCCGCATCACACAACAGAGACGGAGAGAAAGAGGGACACTTTGGTAGAATGCACAGGCGAACGAGAAAGGAAGAGAAACAAGGGGGAGGGGGGAGGGGGCAGACGTTGGCGAGCTTGGATGGAGGAGAGGGATGGACGGCGGGATAAGATAGAAAGAGAACCGGCGTGACTGACGGGGGTCCGCGGGGGGTGGCGCAGAGCGGCAGGCAGAACAAGGGGTGCGGGGGTTTGAAGGAGAGGAGGGAATACGACAGGGGGAGAAGGGGAGTGAAGAAGGAGGGAGGCATATGAGACATTCCTTCAGTGAACGGATCGACCGTAGTGTGAGTGCAAGCGAGCCGGTAAAATCGATGTGGCGAAGTGTGGTTGTGCCGCTACAGCGTGCGAAGGGTGCTCCGCTCTGTTGTACTTCCCCCCCTGCCTTTCCCCGCTTCCTCACCGTCGCCGCCGCCGCTGCCGCCGCCCCCTTTCGTCTCCACCGACCCTCCGAAATACGTTTCCCGTGTGTGATCCGCGGTTCCGCCTTGCGGCGTTACTTTGCACCCTGATGTTGTATCTCGCGGAGAAGCAAGCAGTTTGGGTTGGCAAACGACTGCCTGCCCTTTTTCGCTACCATGTTCATTTATCCCGCGAGAAAAGAATCTCACTCTCTCTCTCTCTCTCTCTCTTTGCATACAAATAGTTTTATAAAAAATGCAATATCTTAGAAACTAACCAGAAAGGATTATAATGCCCGAAGCTGCGGTCGGTATCTGGGTGATTTTGACAAAGCTTAGGATGTGTATTTACTACTAATAATAGCGAAGAAGTAGCTTTTCAACAGATTCATAAACCGTATAAATCGTGCTCTTCGAAATCCAGCAGATTGAATGAGCTTCGGTTTGCGGATCAATGTGAAAGCAAATAGCGAGGTAAACTATATAACAGGTATTCATCGAAAGATAACGGTTCTAAAATTGACAAAGAAGATAGTTACCAACAAAGAGAAAGTTGGAGTCTTTCTGAGTATCAAACCTTTTTCCTCCTCAAAAAAAAAAGAAAAAAATCAGATATGTTTTATCAACCTATATAACTCGCGAAAGATTATAAAAAAAAATAAAAAAGTTCTAGCTCTTCTTAATTGATCGATAAAGTTCTCGGTTTCTCACTGCAGCCATATTGGATTATGATGTCAGCATACAATTTTGAATTTTTGTGTAGTATACTA